TTGGCCGACTTCGGCTGGTGTTTCTGCCCAAAATAGGAAATTTAGGCTCGACCCGAATTTGACGTTTCTTATCTCCGGGCCCGTTCTGTACATACAGTAGTCCACCCAAAGAGCATTATCGAAGCTTTCAGCCCGGTGGGAATCGCATGAAATGGCCATTTTGAACACCCTCCTCCTGCCAGCACTCGGAGGTGGCGGCTGTGTAAATGTTAATGTTTACCTGTACATGGTGTCAGCTGTTGTCAAGTGTGTGAAGCGCAGCTCTGTGCCGCAATAACTACTTGAAATATCTACCTTGTGGTAAGGCGGTGTCCACAGTCTATGCGTAGAGCTGTGCAGTGTAAATCTCATGATTGTGTTTTTGTTTGACATCATATTCCAAACGCGGCACGCACCAGCACGCTGAGTAGCACGTCGCGCGCATATGTACTTAGTACTTCAGTACGAGATGAGCCCAGAAACTCGGTAGGTCGTTTTATCGTCTTAATAGAGTAGGGTATGACCCAATTGGCGACGTTGCAAATCCCCAATGCGAAAAATTCCCTGGTAGCATAATTGACTTGGTGCTTCATGACTCGGGGACAAGAGGGAAAACCGTTACAGCAGTAGTGTGGTTTGCTGAGAAACTATGCTTGTCTCAATCGCGTGTGCGTTCCACAGAATGCCCTGGAGATCTACAGGAAAGACCAGGAATCCCACCATGAGCAGTCCATCGCCAGCGATCTCACGAGGGGCCTCCTTCGGAAGGTCTTCAGAGACACGGTGCTCGAGTCTTCCAAACAGGTGCCTCGTTATCAAAGACACGGCTTTCTTTGGCAGTTGACGACAGCTTGTTTACTCCGCTCGAGGCTTGACCGAGAAGCTGTACTGTTTCTGTCGAAGACGTTTTCAACACAGCATACTACGTCTTGTCGAGTGTCTCATAGCTGATGGTGCTCACACACAACACAGGTTACGTGGTCGGTGCGCGAGAGGACAGCAGTGGCAGGTGTAATCCACAGAGTATGCATTGCCAAGAAATGGAGTAAAATTTACTCTCCACACCCTGCCCAAAGACAAGTGTCGAAGACAGCAGTGCTTTAAATACCTCGCATGAAACCACTCGTCTTCCTGTAACTCGAGTGCCAAGTCCCCAAGTTGTCTGTAGGCTCGAGAACAAGATAACGTGGGCGCAATTTAGGGAAGAGAGGTGGGTTTAGGGTCACATAAGATACATACAGAGGGACCATACATGCTAAACCGACGCGCGTGGGTTAGCTCCGCCCGCTGCTCACACCTCGACAAGGCCCGATGTTTTGATACAAATATTTCCGGCACAATCAATTGGTGGATTGTCAAGGTTAAACGCAAGTACAGCTACAGTGCTGTCGGCAGCACTGTTCAGGAGGACATCGACGCGGCGAATATGGGGATCATGGCCAAGCTCAAGAAGCTTCAGAAGGAAAGGCTGATCGTGGCGCGGCTAGGCTTTCCCGACAAAGCCATGGAGATCGATGAGCACATCGAAAAAATCCGTGCGGATCTCAGGGTGAGGTCGCTTCGTTCCGGGTCTATGCACAAGCAGGAAGCTGTGTTGCCGTAGGCTACATAGAGAATTTAACGTGCGGAGCCCACTTTTTCTTTTTTTTGTGGTCCTCTGATGGACTGTTTTAATTTCAATTCGGGACGCTGGCAATCACGAAAACCCTAATCATGCTGGTTCGATTTGTGCGCTTGCACGTGTCTTGCTTGTTTCTCGTATGCCTGTTGGGTACGTCACACCCGCTCTGGAATGCCACCATGCGTCGTCAGAGCGAGCGCGAAAAGGTGGACTCGAGGATTCTCGAGGAGGAGTTGGCGGCACTGGCCATCCAGCACCGTGAAAAGCTGGCTAGCCTTGAACAAGAGCTTAAGGAAGACGAGCAAAAAGTCAGCAGGTCGTTCGAGCGGGAAAGGGTACGTGGAGAAACCAAAAAACTCCACGTTGTTCAAGGGCCGTTGGCCTCTACTCTACTGCCGTCAAGCCGAGAGTCGTGGCCTGGATGTAGTGCGCACGATTCATCGAGAAAGTTGCCGCTCATCTTTACACATAGACAGGCATTGACCGCCGCCTGCCTTGTGAGCGTTTGATTTCGTGCTGAAGATTAGTTCAGGGGAAGGACGGCACAAATCAGTACCTGGTCTCTTAGCATTGCTACAAACCAGCATTCTTGATCACCTCCCACTAAACCCTCGCCGGGAGAGGAGTTGCGCACTGTGGACCACGCTAAATCTTTGAGTATCCCAGCTATTGAGATAGCTAATTTAGGTGGTTGTCGGAAGAACTTGACCCTCGAAAGGCGACAAGTGTGTGGGTAGCTTGGGCTGTACTTCACGAGATACGTAAAAACGCTGAGTGGCTCTGCCAGGCGTCTTCTCGGCCTCAACCGGGATGCACGACCAATGGTCTATCGACAAAGTCAGCAATAAATTGAGTGCGTCTTCCCTCCCGTCTCTAACCAGGTTTGACTTGATATCTCGTTGCGTCCCATGACGTGCTTGTATGAACCAACAGGCTGTGCTTCTGCGAAAGCAGGAGAAGCAGTTTGTTCAGCTTGTGGATGACGCTATCAAGCGAGCAATCGGCAAGAGCAAGGTACAGCGTTGAAACTACAGATGATGTCCCTGTAGGAGCCATGTTTCAACTACTGCTTGATAGTTTCAACTTGCTTCTAGTCGAAATGCATAGCGTTTGTATCCCCCATGACCATTCTACCCCTGACAAGGACAAGAGTTTTGACCCCTTGGTCCCGGGTTCGTAATACATGATACATGGTATGACCTCAATAGGCTAATTGACTTATCAATATGGATTTTTGTCTATAATGACAACGTCATCAGTGTTTGCACAACCTTGTGTCAATTGTTCTCTCAAGCTCATCTTGCAAAACATCAAATAGACTTCTCGACAATGCTAGCTTACGCGTTCTTTGAAACAGGAGAACCCCAGACGAAGAATTTCGCTTCACACACCTCCTGTATGTGATCACTGGTTGTTACATGTTCCAGCCAGTCAACTTTTACATACTCACACTCCGTTGTTCCGTCCTCGATCCACCACGCACCCTGCCTGCTGATCTGACCGACAACACATGACAACGACAAACACGGCTTAGTCGTGTTCTTGCTCCAAGAAATACCTGTGCCACCACAACAAGACGGCAAGCTTCAACACTCGCAGGCCAAAGAAGGAGGTCATCCACTTCCGAAAGAACGCGAAACGCCTTCGACACGGTACGTAAACACAAAAACAAATGACATGTGTGTGCCGAGTCCCTTTTGCTTGTAGTTCAATATCGTGTTTCGATCTCGCTTGGTGTAGCGAATTCTTTCCCAACACGGGGTGGTCGAGATCCTCTGGTGGCCGTCCTACTCGCTTTTTAGCACGTTAGGTTGAAGCCCTTTCACTCCAATTCAGCAGTTCCAAATTACATACGAACTCTGTTTCGGACGGAGGAAATTGGGTCACTCGCGCGAGATCTATTTGACAAGCACCATACGTTTTGCGATGGCCCAAAATGTACGCTATCAACAGGAGGCAGGCTGGACGAATCTGCGGCATGGGAGGAGAAAGCAGCGGAGCTTGACGCGAATCATTTGGATTCCTGGCGAGAAGAGGTTGCCGCTTCATTGACGGCTAGCGCTTGGGGAGGGAGCAGCAGTGCTCTGGACCAAGTGAGGATTCAGAGCAACATCTCGCCGGGGCTTCTGACTATTGCGAGGCAACTCGGGAAACTGTTCGGGAGGGCTATTTTAGGGTCCATCGTCAACGAGAAGGCGATGCTCCTCAGAATGAACATCAAGGCGTAGAGCGATACGCACTGCATCCTCTTTTCCCCGTGGTCTCGTGATCGGCTGTTTTGGACCGGAAGGCTTCAGTTGGAAGAGAAGAAAAAACAGTATTTTGCTTATTTTGCTGTTTCGCGCCATGATTAGTGTGCTACGTGCCTCTGTATGGTCCTGAAGCTACCACTACTCTCTGTGGCTTGTGTCTCTTCGCCAGCGTGAAATCGACTACACCTGGACCTTGGAAAGTTTGAGTTGCGTCCTGACGGCAATGTACCTTAACTATCTGTCTCCCATGAGCAGCTTGCCACCGAGCATCAGCGCGAGATCAGCCGGATGGAAACGGCACAGGCCAACGGGTGGACGCTGATGCTGATGCGGCACCAAACCGCCCGGAGAAACTGTCACAACGTCATCATGGTCGAGCGGAAGAAGGCAAGCAGGGGAAAACGCTCGGCTGCATCTGTGCGGGTTCCCGCAGCGAGAAATGAATCTTGCAGTGCTTCCGCACGAATAGCGGAGACAAGAGAAGTCCGGGCGCAGTAACTGAGCACTCGGACTTCTACTGTTGTCTGTGTAGCCTCCCTTAAAAACGTGCATCGCGAGTGCGGTTTGTGTCACCTCCATCCGTAGCCTTCCTCGCTGACGTCCTACACACCCAATACCCGATATTTTTCAACTTAGCTCCGACACGCGTGTAAGAAGAGCGCCGAGGAAAGACATCGACGAGAGATGCTGGGGGAGGCAGACCCGACAGAAGGAGGGGCCGCACCCTCTGGTGCTACCGACGAGGCGAGTTGTTTTCACCCACACTACTGCTGTATCCGATTTGTCGTGCAGTCATCGTGTTATGTTACTTCAGCTTCGCCTCCCCTTTCCCTGTCACATCAATTTTCCTTAGCACAGGTTCTAACCTAAACACTTGTTAAAATGAACTTCAACACATTCCCCTTAACCCCCGTCTTGGGTGAGTAGTCCGTTTGTGATGGCATGTATAGTTATTGAAACGTACCGATGGTCGAAAGGGGTACTAAATAGCTCAACAAGCAACGCAACAAGTGAGGACTGTCCCTTCCCGTTCTCCGTCGCACCCCCTCATGGCCTGTGGCGCTAAACAAACACGTCGACCACGTGCGATAAAATTGTATCTCTTTTACCTTAAGGACGTCGAGGGTATGCTTAGAAACGTCATTGAAGACGAGGGTTCTGCCACAGGAGAAGCAGAAGGAAAGGAAGCCCAACCAAGCGGTGGCACAGCGGCGGGCCGACCACCAACACGCCCGAGTAGTGCTCCGCCAGCACGCGGAAAGAGACCGCAACCGGCCGCCGCCACCACCAAAAACAACAACCAGAATTTATCGGAAACTGTGGCAGCGCCACCGTCAGCAACAGAGAAGGCTGGCGAGGGTGAGAATGTTGGCGCAGCGGACGAAGGCGTACACGTCGATGACGACGATTCTTTTGGCAAAGACTCGCACGATCTCCGGGGCTTCGATGAGCTCGAGGGCGAGGCGTGGAAGAAATTTTCCTACGACGATTACCCCGCCGCCGGTTCGCCGGAGGAACCGGAGTGGATCCACACCCCGTGGTGCGGGACGAACAGCGGTGACATTCCAGTCCTTGACAAGGTCTCGGACAAGAAGGTTCTCGACAGCGATGGGACACCGATGGTACAGCTTGTGCTACCCGCGTCGACGGCTTCCGCTCCTCCGTCGTCCTCTGCGGGGCGTGTCGATGGCAATACCGCTACACAGCCGGTGGTCAGGGGTGGTGGTGCTTCCGAAGGCTTTGGCGACGGGGAGGACAAGGGAGTTATCGCAGAGCACAAAAGAGACGTTGGCAGCCCCCGCAGTGGCGCAGAAGGTGGTGCTGATAAAGGAAGGCCGTGTTCGGCAACTGGAGAGTTGTTTACAGGAGACGCAGCAGCGGCAGTATCGCCCCTTAGTTTTGCCGGGGAGGGGGCGGAGAGGGACAGCCAAGTCGACGGTGGCGGTAGCGGGAGAAGTCCGGGTAGCGTAGGAGATGGTTTCACGTCGCCACGGGCTCTTGCCGGGGGCGGTGAGCTGCGGAGGTACAACTGGCTAGGAGCTGACGCCGCGCCCACAAAGCCATCGCTCCTCACGACGAGTCGGATACCGACGGGAAACCGTGCCGACAAGCAAAGGTTCAGAAACGCGAAGAGACAAGATGCCAACAGAAAGGTGGATGACGCGACGATATAGGTTTAGGTTGACTCATTGGAGAATACGTTCCGCGATGCGTTTGGATTTGGCTCTCGCTCCCGACAGGAGTCGCGCTGTCGACATACTATCAAACCATCTGCCCTGTTCGATGTTTCTGCTATTGATATCTAGTCAATGTTTGACCCTGAGCATTGTTTCGTGCAGCCGCTAAGTTCTTGTGCCCTCGTGTTGACTACAAATATATGCCGTTTTCGCCTCTTGGAGCAACAACTTGGGCAGTCAGTCGATCAGTTCTCGCCCCGATGAAATCTCCGCTTCTCACGCTTGTTAGACTGTTTCCTGGGGCGAGAATATGGAAGTACCGCCAGAATCTCCGGACGACGATGACGCCAACGGCGATGGAACCGAAACCGACGAGGGCAGCACGTTTGCCACCGACGGGGGCGGGCGGCGACCAAACACGGCTCCGAACGCTCTTGACGAGATCGCAGATGGTTTCGTCGATGACGATGCTTTCAGCAGCAGCAACGACGACGACGACGACGACGACCAGCGTCGCCAAGAGAATAACGTGCTTGCTGCCGCTGCCGGTGTGGAAACCGCCGAGGGGACTGTACGAGCCGCCGCCGCTTCGACGGTACCTCGTCGCGCAGGGTGGGGAGGTTTGGAGGTGGGTGGCGGTAAGGAGAAAGGGAGGTACAGGGAGCGAGGAGGGAGCACTGCATCAGCGTACGCGGCGAATGCCTCCCTTCGACTTTTTAGGAAATAATAAGTTCGCGCCGTGAAGATGTGCGCTCAACACGAGTCCTACGTGTATCACTAACCCAAGTTGGGCCGATGTAGTTGGCGAGGGTTGACTCTCTCTACAGCAAGGTGTTCCCACAGCTACACTATCGCCGCGCATTCACACGTATTTCCACAACAGTCTTTGGGGCCATAGAGGAAGGCAAGTATATGAAGAGAAAGATTCGATGACTCTGTACGTTCGACGCGGTACAGAATCCAAAGTGCCCAACGCGGCGGATACAACAACTTTTTATAGGTACCGTACCTGATACAAAGAATATTCCGCAGAAGACGGTAGTTTCAGTCGTACCGGCGGCGGTGTCGAAAGAGACAGAAGGAGGGGCAAAGAGAGAAATCAGATGGAGAAAGACATAGAGACAGAACCTACGTGTCCTTGCCGCAGCAAGAGTCGGAGACATCAGACGAGTTACCAAATAACAAGTTTTTCGGCGTTGGAAAACTTTGCGCCATTGCCCAGGACTGGTCGCCGCAAACAGTAAACAGAGAGAGGAGAGAACATCTTCAACCGATGGAAGGGCAAGGCATTCCCAGCGACCATGGAAGCAAAACAAGCAGCACTAGAAACGGAGGAGAGATTGTTGGCACCAAGAGCAACCTCGTTCCGGCAAGAGAGAGGGCCGAAAGGAGAATATCGCCTGCAGAGGAGGGCCCGTGTGTAGTAGAGGAAGAGCACCCCTTGCAGGTACGCGAGATAGACTTGATGACAGTCCGTAGTGGGCCCGAAATCTTGTGAAGTGAGTGAGGGCAAAACGAAAATGGCTTCAGCACGTACTGGGGCCGGAATGGCCTGCATGTGTGTGTTGTTACTTCGTCTATTTGGACGTCTGTTTATTGGTACGCGTATGGTCCAGTTTGGACCCACCAGCCAGCCGGGGTCTCACAGCAGGAAAGAGGAAGATTATTCTTTTCCCTCCCTCCTTCGTTCCCTCGTCGACTCTGTGCGGTCTAACTTGTGTCCCCACGAATTACCCCCCTGCTTGAGCATGGGCGGCACATATTACGTAGCTATGCAACGGTCGTGGTGCATGGTTCCATCAAGTTCGCTCTGATCGCCCGCCCTTCCCGCGTCTCTGCCTTTTCTTGTAGTGTGAATTCGACGTGGATTAGAAAGGCGTGGTTTCTCTAAACCTCTCCATTTACCTTGTCGGTCGCTATTGGTGGTCCTTTCTTGCCTCGCAGCATACACTGGACCAGTTTTGCTTGATTCTCGCCCTTCACGGCGATTGGCTACTGCTTTTGGGACAGATTGTCGGGGACGAGGCTTGCCGAAGCGCTCTTCGCAGGCAAGGGCACACTCTCGCTCTGGCGCAAAGTGGCGGCTGCTGTTAACATTAAGTTCTCTCGTGACCTCCCCCCTGTTGGTACCTAAGCAAGATTGAATGATTCTCATTCACTCATTCGTTGGGAATGCAAATGGACCGTCCGATTTTTCACTGGGTCTTCAGGGTGCAAAACTTGCCGAAGTTCTCCCGACAGGCAAGGATGATAACAACTGTCGACACGTTACCTCTCGCTATTGTCCATGCCAGTAACGCTCGCAAGCCTCTTCCCTTTCTCCTGAATTTCCTCACTCAAACCGCTTCCTAATGTCATAGCAATACGGACAAGCACACATATCTCGTTTTGTCTGCAGTTCCGTACATACCGACCAGTTAGGCTCGCTTCGTCTCCCGCCGCGATCGCCAACTGAGTGGTGGCCAGGGTTCGCAATAACTTGTGTCCGGTCCACGCAATAACTTCATGTTCACATTGGACAATCTTGACCGAACGCAGGTGGAGTAAACCGCACCCATGGACAAGAGATGTGGAGGCATGTCTAGCGGCTGGCGTAACGAGGGACGTCGACGGAGCGTAAGTTGTGCGCGTACGTTTTTTTCGTTGTGCGGGGATCGAGTGTTGACTTTATGCTACGGAATTTTGACGGGCGGTATGGTCACAACGCTCATTCGCGCTGGTTTTCGCTTGTCATCCCAACTTTTGCCTGTCACTAGAACGTGAGCGCTCGGTGACCGACGATAGTTTCTTCACAGATGCCACCCAGCTTACCAACACACAGATGGCGACACGTGGTCAGGCGGAACTTGATCGAACACCTATACGTTGCCTATGTCATTTAGGCGAAGAACCATTGCACTAAGCACCCATCATATCTCCATCAGAAGTAGCCACGGCAACACTCGCTGGTTGCCCCTCTGGCGTGGGTGCTGACAACAATATATAGTGTCGTCGATTTCCTCGTTTGGAAATTCCGCGCTCCTTCGCTGCGCCCGCCGCATACAGGGTGTCTTCTTGGGGCTCAGCACGAGCGAAAGCTGCGGCCGTAGCGGTGGCTCAGTCGTCCATCCTGGCCCCTTTCTTGGCGTCGCCCTCGGCACGGTGCTTGTT